AACATACTTGCAAAATTTTAAGTGATATCTATGGTTCATGTTTTCTGTTTTGGATTCCATGTACACTTTTCTTTTCACACTGCATTGTTATTGCATTCTTGAAATCATATGAATGCTTTAAAAGTGGTGAAATCTTGGCTTTTAGTCCTATTTCACTACGAGATACTACGATTAACATGCACTCTGTTGAAAATTCTTGGTGTTAGCGGTGCAGTTTTATCGAAAACGTGAATAAAGAATGTTTGGTCTGTCATGCTGAGTCCTTATCTATTCCAGAAAACCTTTTCCATTCTCTTCAAAGATTCCGACTCAACAGTGCGATCAGATGCCTTGAGGTGCTTTGTAACGTATGTTATTGAAAATGACGATGACGATCGTTTAATCAAAGAGTTATCACCTTTGATGCACCAGGTTGTAGAGGTAGTAAGCTTTTATCATGTCTTATTATCTGCTATGTTGGATCTCTCAAATTAAAGGTTTGTCGGTACACTTGTGTAAATGAAGATGGTGGAGATGATGCGCCACTGCAGTGCCTAGCGGAATTAGAGTCTGTTGCTCCTAAACTTGTTAATCCACATATGGCGGAGATTCTGGAAATGTGCGTAGGGGTGAGTACATATTTCTAGATTTCTTTCCGTTATTGTCCAGTTCTACGCACTTCATTAGTGCGTGCTAAATACGGAGAAGGACGAGGCCTTCCGACATTCCGCTACCGAAGTCCTCGCGACAATCTGCGAATGCTCAACTGCGGTGCTCAAGAAACGTCACGCTGCGACTATTCCTTTCATCTGTAAGTCTTTCAAGCTCTCTCCAGCAGTTGTAAACGCAGAACGTGAGATTGCGGCCGTTCACTAAATTATTATCGTTTAGTAAAAGCTGTACTCCTACTTATGACTCATCTTACAACGGAACTGGATGAGTGGCTTGAGGTTGATGACATTGATGCCGAAGACGACGAGGAGTGGGTTTTTTCACCAGAAAATTTTTTCATAATTTTTTGCTCACCTCATCAATCTTGGTAAGCTGTCATCCGGACATGTGGAATTTCAAAAAATCGCGCTTCATTACTCACCAGAGTTAGGTTTTAATAAATTATGAGAATAAACCAATCAGTGGCGAGAAATCGCATGTAGTTCTGCCACATGAGTGGATTAGGGTGTTTAATAAT